CCCAAGCCTACCTCAAGCCGTGGCTTGGAACTCTCTTGAGATAGCACAGGTCAGGGTGAGGGTATAAACCCACTTCCAAAGCACTCAATGTCCCTTGGGAGATAAGGACCTCAGTACATGTGGAATGGCAGAAGTCTGAAGCCATGGGAACTTTTATTCAAGTTGGTTTGAATCTGTGGAGGAGGCTAAAGTTACTAGTAGTTCGGATTCTTCTCATTCACTGAGAAACTGACCATGGAGTATGACAGTGCTTAGAGTGCCTGTCAGCATCTGGGATAAACTACACATACCAAGAGTGCATAGCTTGTTCAGAGTTTCCCATGAAAACTTAATGCTGCCAAGCAAGCTTCTGAAATAACTTATTTTGTAAATAAGTTATTTATTAGATTAATAAAAACTTGAAAATAACCAAATATGCTTTCCTCGGGTAAAAACCACCCAGTCATTACGGCCCCCTAATGTGTACATGTCACAATTAAGAAAGTAAGTTCTTTCTAAAAATTTAACTCATTTCTAAAAAATCCTGGAAATGGCAAAAGTATTATATAATACTTCTATAAGAATTGGGAATATCACCAGATCCTTATATTGTTGACTCACACACTCTTACTGTAATGAGTGAAAGATGCTGCACAAAGTGCAAGGTATAAGAGGGGCATTTTTCTACAAATGTAAGGAAGCCTTCCATCGTCTGTTTTTTTTGTTTGTTTTGTTTTGTTTTTACTCGAGGTGTGTGCACTTATCTCTGAACTACCCATTTGTAGGAAATGACATAAGAAATGAAGCGGTTGGGGTGGTGGAGTAGCATTCCACAGTCTGCTGTAGTTTGTAGACATTCATTTAAGATCCAACTCAATGGAAAAACCCAAAGTGTTGTGTTGTGATGGGTCCAAAGAAGGAGAAACTACACAATTGTTTTTCCTGTGAATTATAAACATTATCACAGCCCCACACATGCAGTAGGTTACTTTCCAAGTCTAGTAAGACTGTTCTGTAAAGGTGCATTATGGATTTTTATTTTATTATTTTTTTTTTGTAGTCTCATAGTTGCTAGGTTCATGAATGTTTTCAAGGTTTTGTTTTGTTTTTTTATAGTTACTCTTTCAGATTAGTGACACGACGCTGAGTTTTCCTAGAACAGGCTTCATAACTTGTTTTTCACACCCGTCCCTTTAAAAGTCACATTAGAATAAATCCTAATATCATATTTGGCCATTGTCTTTTGGTTTTCCCCCTTTGGGCGTTGTTACACAGTGATATTTTAAACCTGTCGAGTAATTTCATTTCAGTGTCCTGCACCAGCACAACTACTCTTAACTGAGCGAGCACAGCAGACTTGTGTAAAAACTGTCCTTGAGGTTCAGACTTTATATCACTGGCTTCTGCTGCACAGTCTTGAAATATTGAGTTACAAGCCTGAGCCAAATAGTGATAAAATATGATCACTGCTGCACCATCTGCAGTCCACCAACTTTTTTAAGTAACCTGTTTTCAGTTGTCTGTCCTTAATTTAAATGTGACAGCTGGTAAATGAAACTTTGCATTGAAATGCTTAAACATGGAAGCTGCTGTGGCTGGCTGAGGTCGAAATCTCCTGATTATGCATGAAAGCAAAGCACAATCACAGCTGACGCAAAAATACTGACCATTAATTTTAATTATATGCATATTGTAGAAAAACACACAGTATATTTCCTGCAAAAATAATGGGAATGTAATGTTTGATTTCCCTAATGGAAATTTCTGTTCCTTATCAATTTCTCCTCTGGCTCAAAACTAATGATCTGTCTGGGTCAGTCTGTGGAAGTAATGGTCTAGAAAAGTCATTCTTTTTGCTAATATTTATTTATTTTTAATTTGAGGAAAAACACTGATGCATCACCCTCCAAATAAGTGTCTTCAATTAAAGTAATGACCAAATGTTGCCAGTGTAAGTACTTTGACTTGTCCATCCTGTTGTATCCTGCATTGTTTTTCTTTTTTTTATTCTTAACAGAAATACACCAGTGTGCTGTTAATCAGTTTAGGTTTGAATTATTTGTTTGCACCATTGACAGATTTGTGTGTCCATGTGTGTGTCCTTATGGGCACAGAGGAGGGGCACAGGGCATTTAACATCGTCGGTGGAAGGTCTTGTTATCAGTGTGTGAACAGCTCTGAAACACCTGGACAATCGATAGTTCCCTCATTGTGTTCAAGGAGGCTTAGTGGTCGATCAATGCAGAGGCTCAGCCCCGCTAACGCACACACAACACATGACCTGCATCTTTTACCCTTGGCGCCCCTCGCTCTTTATGCACTGCCCTACACGGTAGAGCTGCTGTAAAATGTGCATTTTGGCACAGCCATGCAGGGCACCTTATGCACACAGAATGTATGAGTACATATAAGTAATCTAACACAAATTGCTTGATGAAATGTGTTTGCGCTTTATTAATTTCATGTACCCATGTACTTTTTTTGACTTTATAAAACTGGAATTTAAGGATGAAACTCTCAAACTTCTCTCTTGTCTTCCCCAGAGATCCGTACACACCCACACATGCAGACTAATGAGTGGATTATATAGCCAAGTCGTAAAGATAAAATGTGTGAAATATCTGCCTTAATGAACCTCTACCAAATCTCCTTTACATTTTTGTGAGTTTAAGGGGAAGTACACAGTCTGGTAAAGCATTTTAAAATGACAAAGATTCTGCAAAGGCCAGATGTTTTATTAAGATATTATTAGAAACACTATACAACCAGCCAATTGTGTAGCCGACGTACATAAAATCATCCAGATACAGGTCAGGAGCTGGAGTTACCGTTCATGGCAAACACTGGAGGAAAACGGTGATCTCGCTGATGTTCTGTGGAGAGAATCACTGTATTGGTAGAGGAGAACAGCCAGGTCGGTTGGCTCTGACAGAAGGGTCACTCAGATAAGCACACCTTACAACCAAGTGTAAGCATCTCACACTGCACAGCACACTGAAGCAGATAGACCCCTGTCAATCAAAACAAAAAAAGGAATTTGAGGTAGTGGAAGGTGATAGACAAATACAGACATCCATTTTTTTTCTTCAATGAAAACAACACATGAGATGTCAAAAATTACTAAATAACTAGATAACTAAGATAATGCCTCTGGAGTTTTTCAGGAACCACATATTTCTTCTAACCTTTTTTTGAATGCTCACATACTGTCACAGCCAAATAGATATTGGCAACCTAAAGAAATCCGTATCAGTTTGAGTATATACTATGCTTAAAACATTTTCATCTCATTATCTGCTGTTGGACTGCGCTTTCCATCAAGAAAGTGAAATGATTACACTCCACTAGACTCTATTTACAGAAACAGGACTTTTACTTGTGAAAATATCAGATTGGTTGGGTGCTTTTTGTGGATCTTTAGCATTTTCATTGTTTATTTTGCAAACTAACATCATAAAAGGAGGAGCGACCAACATTTTCAGTTTAGTAGATATCTGATTTTGTCTGGAAGCTTTGAAAAAGTTAACACAGTAATAACCTTTATTCATTGTAGCCATATGTCAGATTTTTAACATTGTATTATCATGTCTTTTAACCTAAAGAAAGCTTAAAAATACTGATGTAAATGGATAAGGAAATATTGTATTTTTTTTTTTTTTTTTAAGAAAAAATGTTTCTCACAAATATGTTTTGTAGGCCTAATATGAGGCTACACTGCTCACGTCAAAATTGGGTTGACATATTCAAATGCTAGCCTCTATATTTGGCATCAACAGTATGACTCCATGGACTCACCCTGCCGTATGTTAACAACCCAGGCTAGTGATGGTGTCTCAGAAATCCTTTACCCTCCTGCTCAGGCACCAGGCCTTAATCAGATCATTGTGTTTTGGATGTGATAAAAGATATGACTGGTAACAGGAATGTGCAAATGAGAAAGATATTAGAGAAATATATTTCATACCATTCGTGTGCATCTCCTGAACAATTGTTCCTGTACGAGTTCAGACCTGGTTGCATCATAATTTCCATGACTGTTCATAGCTTGTGTAAGAGTTTGTGTGGACATGAGTTTAGAAACCAGTGTTCTCCCAGTAAACGAGCACAAATGTTACCATCTACCCCAAATGAAGGCCCCCCGTTTTGGACACAGTTTAGAAGATCTAGTCTGTGCATTTGCAAGTGATTGGATCTGAGGAATCCCAACTTTATCCCAGAGTCTTTTATAAGGCTGGATGTTGTCCAGAGGTAGAGGATCAGAGGGTTTGAAGGGGAGAAGTTGGCCAAATTTATATTGAGCAAACATTTTTCGTTTTAAGGGGGAAACTTTTTGGTCTAACCTCATACCAGAGGTTGATGAGGACATTTGTGCTGCGCAAGTCGTGTGATTTCATATGTTTTTGACTTATGTTGTGTGGATGTTGTGTTTTCATGTGTATACAACTGTATTACTGTGGCACCACAGGTTAGCAGAAATGTTCACGTATTCAGAATGATAGAAGTAAACGTTGTTTTTCTTTGTATTTTGCCTTTTTAAGTCCACATGTTATATCTTGACTTTGAAATCTCTCGCTGCAACATTGACATCACTGCTTCTCTGTTCTTTGCTTTTCAACTCTGGCAAGTTTTTTTTTTTTCTTATGTTCAAAAATATGGTTTAAACTGCTGTAGATGAGAGGACTAGGCTGCATAAAACTTCCTAAATTTGTTGGCATTTCCTTTCAAGATTTGAAAGCGGGGAGATATGAAAGAGTGGGCGTAACGCCGCGCTCCAAAATAACATTTAGCTGTCTGGAGAAACCACTAATAGATTTGCAGTCTCAACAACCAACTGTTGAGAGATTACAGGAGCTTAGACTTATAAGGAATGGAACAGATGTTGAGCTCCAAAAACCTGTCTTGTCATTCACGTGGGATTGAAACGTACTGTAAAGACACTCACTTCTAATGTTTAGCAACATCCGGCTTCTTCGTGATGGTACAGCATTTTGCAAGCAGATTTCTGGCTTGATGTGGGTGTGTGATGTTCAAAGTACATGTAAAATATACAACCAAAACATTTGCTTTAAGTAGCCCCCGAAGGCACCTTTTTTTGTTTGGAGAAAATATAAAATCGAAAAGTTGTGGAGGATCAAGGCACTGCATGGTAAACAAGAAACTATTATAAAATTAAATCTCTTCATTGCCTCGGGCGCTATGATGCAGTAACAACCTAATGTTTAATACAACGGAGGAGTGCTTGTCACTAAGACTGTAGAGGATGACTGATCACTACTTAATACCTAAGCGCCTCTCTTTCTCTCCTTTTCCTTCCCTGCTTTCCTCTGCCTGTATCTCTGTTTTTCCCCTTTTCTGTCTTTTTCTATTACTGTCTTTCTCCAGCATTTCAATTGGAATTAGTTATGTCTTAGCTGGCAGTGAGGCCTACGCTGCACTTCTTAATGTCAGGTAAGTCTTACGATCATGCTACTTGGTTAAACTGTAGCTTTTTAGGTTATTCTGATTAATTTCACGTTACACTTCTCTTTAATCAAACCTAAATCCAGTTTCAAACCATGCACAAGGGATGGGAATCCTTTCATCATATCTTTTTAGGCTCTGCTTTCAACATCTGTTAATTAGCTTTTATGTGGCTGCCTCTGTCAGTTTTTGCTTGCATTATCTGGGGTGCTAGGCTTTCCGATTTAGCCTAATGTATGCTATCCTCTACATAGTTTACATGCAGTATGGTGAGGGGATCAAGATGGCTTAGCCTGACATATGAGTTGCTTTAATTCTAAGCTTGGGTTCCTTCTACATATAAATTACTTCAATTCTTTAAGGGGTTCCAGCTCAGAGAGAGTGCCATTCAAACACAATTAACAGCAGGGAAAAATGTCACTGAAAAAATAAATAATGTGCAAAGAAAGCCAAACGTCATGCAGGGCTGCCAGAAATTTTGCACATCAGTCTGGCTCCCTGTTCCCCCTTCTCAGTTAGCACAAAATTGAAAGCGAATTGTCACTTCAGGGTTGTGTTGTTAGGGTGACATGAGTTCACACAAAGATATTTTTATTTGATATTGATTTAAAAGGGGAAAGAAACCCTGATGCAACCCCGAGAGCTGACCACAGGAGAGGGAGGCCCTGAAAGGATTGCATGAAGTTACAGCATTGCTTTTAATCAAAGCAAACAAACACGTACAGGCTGCACACACTGCAGAGATGAGAGGGAAAACATCCCATTATCAGGCATTAAGGATTTATTTTCTGTTGTAGATTATTCAGTATAGTCTTAAAGTAATTTATGCTAGTGAAAGCTAAATGGATAACATGTTTCGGTATTTCTAAATATGTCAGGTTTAGGTGTCTCTCTTGAAGTTGACATAATCTTACCTAGATCATTACGAGCTATTCTGGACTTTTTAGTCTTGCCAAGTTTGAAATTTATGCATATTTATGTGCCGCTTTCATGCTGCAGTAGCATGATAAATGCTGGAAAAATGCATCTTTCTGATACACATAGATTTTTCTTCCTGCAGCTTTGGCCGCGTCAGAGGTTAGCCTTATTAAAAAAATGATTGTTAGTAATTCAACTTAGTGTACTACTTGTTAGAACTGTCAGATAATGTGAAGTATTAAATAAAGCAACTTTGTTTAAACTAAACTTGAAGCAGCAAAAATCGTTGCAGCAACTCCAACCAGCTCTTCAAGTAATCGTTGTCTCGACCTCGCGCCTCCCTCTCCTTTCCTTTCCCAAGCCTATAATTACCTTTATCAGTTAACAGAGCTAATTTATTTTGTCATGCCCCAGTAAATACTTAACCCAAATAATATTATTCACACTCTACAGGATGGTTGGACTGCTTCGTCGGCACACCTGGGGGCTTCATTATCGGGCCGCTCGGTGCCGGGGGGGATTCTGCGATGTGTTGTGGGGAGACAGGGTTACTGGAGTGAAAACACCTTAGGAGACCTCCTTTGGATAAACTACCATATTCCCTCTCCCCAATCAATAGGTTACTGCAGATCTCTGTGTAAAAACTCTCGTCAATACTGCTGTAGGATAGCGAACACGAATCCCAGAGAGTGAATCTCACTGAGCTCTACAGGAATTGCGCATCAGCACCTCACTCTCTCAAACCAATGGCCAGATTATATTTTAGCTCTTTAGATAAAGAAAATATTAATTTTCTATCTAGTTGGAATCATTACAGGCTTTGAGCTATGTTTAACCAATAAATACAGTTTAAATTGCAAGCGTTTAATTAAGAGGAGCAAAAGCTCATCCTTATGTCTGTTGAACTTAAATCTTAATAGTCTTGTTCCTCATAATTCATACAGTTGGCAAAATGAACTAATTTTAAATATATTTTTTATCTTACTGTTAATATTTTATTTAAAATATCCATTTGCTCCAGTTGATACTTTAAAACCACATTAGGGAAGCCTCTGTGGAAACTGATGGACAAATACAACAACCTTTTTACTGCATATATCTTTATTATATAGAAGATTGTAATAAAGAGTGTTAAGTCATTTTAGGTTTCTACATTTTTTCCCCTAGTCATACAAAAACGTATATCATTTTTTTATTTTATATTCCAAAAATAAAAATGCTGCAGAACGTCATAGTCAGATTACAGCTACAGTATTCCGATTGACTGATTGGACAAACACTTAAGTGGGAATTTAAGAAACAAAGAAAAAGAACAAAAAACAATCCCCCCCCCCCCCAAAAAAAAACAAAAACAACTTTTCTCTTACTATGTCATCTGTGCGACTCATGAAACCTCCACATACAGCATTTATCCAATCAGCTTAAGCCACAACTGGGAAAAAAAAATCAAATAATAAAGTTGTGCCTAAGAATCTATATGTATTAATGACGCTCATCAGGAAAGCACAAAAGTTTCAGACACAACTGAAAAACTTTACATCCTCCTACTCTCCCTAATCCTCCGAGGGATCCTCCAGGAATGTTGATGCTATTTTCTAGAGAATTGATTGCTGAGTAGGGGGGGGGGGTTCACACATGCTGATCTGTAATCTTGAACTTAACCTACTCAGGAGCAGGTTAGGGCTACAGCATAAGTTACCATGGCGATTTACCCTGATAAGTCGTGAACTACCTTTGTAGTACAGAAAACCCAGGGTTAACCTTAAAGTTACCTGGATGAGCCAAAATCCTGCTTCGTAGCACAGGCCTCTCTGTGTTGCTCTGCTGTCACAAATGAGGCTGAACTGATCATGTTGCACTTGAAGCTGAAAATTCTGTAGCAACAGTTACTTTTACAATAAGCATACTGACCAAACCTGATAGGCTATTTCATTTTGCTTCATGGAGGCATTACCCGTCTGTGCAATAAGACTCTGAAAACACCTCACTACACATAAACTGTATTATTAAGAAATTGTGCTTAAAATATTGAAAGTAAAAATAATTGTTCTGCAGAAAAATGTTCTCTAGCACTGCTAAACGGATGTATATTACTACTGCATATGTTTAAGGTTGAGCTCATTTTAAATACTGTTTAATGTTCAGTGTCGTATTTTAGAAATCACTCGTTTGTATTGGCTGTCCTGTGAGAACCACATATCTATGAAGAAAAAACTGTTCATGAGCTTAGAAATACAGGCATACGTCTTGGTATATTAAATATTCATTTAGAAAAAAATCAGCTGAATTAAAAGGCTTGTGCAGAGTGTGACATGGTTAACTGTCAATATCCACCGAGGGGATTAAAATATGAATGAAAAATGAAGGTGGGCTGTTGGCAAAACAGGTAGTTAAGCTTATGACATTCAGTCATTCTCATAGATGTTAGTCTGAAAGTACTGCTGAGCCTGCACCTGCTCCACTTACCATTTTTATGGACATGGTCAGAGCTGCCTTCATCTCCATCATCGTCACAGCATTCCTTGTTAATGCCTTAAGGGCGTTATTAACAGCTTTTTCAAACTCCATCTTATCTACATCACTCATGTTAGCCATGCTTAGCAAGACCAAACTCTTCTGTTGCGAGGTTAAATCACTGAGGGTTATTTACTTGCTAATGCCAGCTGTGTTTTCATAGGGAGGGCAGGTCGTAACTGAGCTGCTGGCGTCTGAGTGGCTGAGCTTTATGACAGCTCTGTCGGAAAAAGATTGCCTTACATTGGTATGTTTTAATTTATGCTTATTCTTAGATTTGATAAGGCAAGCACTGCTGCCCTTCCTTCCACTGGCTTAAAACGTTGCTTTTTGACAAAGCATATATTTAGAGCTTGATCAGGTGACCCTGAACCGTTGCTTAGTTATGCTGCAATAGGCTTAGGCTGCTGGGGGCTTCCCATGATGCACTGAGCGTTTCTTCTCTCACCTTTTTTTTTCACTCTTTAACGCTACTTTGCATTTAAACCTTAGTTGTTGTTCTTTGGCTCTCTTCCACAGTGTGTCTTTTGTCCAACGAGGCGTGCCTGATATCTGGGGTTTTCTCTCCATTATTGTAGGGTCTTTACCTTACAGTGTAAAGCTCCTTGGGGGTCACTGTTGTTGAGATTTGGCACTTGGTAAATAAAACTGAATTGAATTGAAAGGAAAACTGTGACTGCACAACATGCAAACAGACCTAAGTCTACAGTACAGGATACAGTTTTAAATATAATGCTTTATTGTACAGTTAACTGCTGTTTCTTTTCGGTGTACATGGTTGTTGTTGTTGTTGTTGTGAAGGGGCTGATTAAAGCCTAGCAAAGTAAGTTTGTTGCATAAAACTAATCCAACATTTAGTAAAATGTATTCACTGAAAACAAAGAAAAACAAACTGCAGGACTTTAAATTGTATGCAGAGCAGTTTTTGCTGTTTTCTGAGTACTTTTATACTTGTTAGCTATCTAGTTGCCTGGAAGATCCCCACTTTTAAGCCATTTGCTCTCATTAATTGTATTACTAGTCATCTTTACATCAGGTCAAATTCATGAAGGTACTTTAGTACCTTATCTTAAGGTACTGTCCTCTACATAGATAGTAGGTAGGATGAAGGTCCTTGTCTAAAAGGCAACCAGCTTCTGACAGCAGTATTTGATATCCTGTTTTGAGAACGAAAGAGGTTTATTGTTGTATTCTTGCACTGTTGCATAAGTCTTTGTCCTTTATAGCAGCTTTATGTGCTGCAACACAGTTGCAACACGTATAATTATTTTATATTGTAAATATGATGTGTTTGTATTGAATATTTAATCTAGAGCTTAAGTAGTAACTTTAAGCACTGCATAAAGTTTACTATAAAATTTATTTTGTGCTCTGTGTATGCATTGGTGGATTAATAGTAGTATTAAGTTGCATCTACTGGGAAAAATGTCTGTTTCAGTGAAGTAGCTAAGAGCAGTTTTAAGTATAATAATGCATGAACTTCAATAATTTGTTTGGACGTTTTACAAAATTGTTGACTTACTGTATGTTTGGTTACTTTGGCTGTGACAGTGAATATCCAGGAGGTGTTTTCCCTCAGTCAACAGTAGTTGCTAAAACTCCAGATGTTTTCATTGTTAATAAGCAGCAAACAGGTGTTTGTTTTGGAGGATGACTGTTAATTGAACCACAAGCTTATGAAGTACTAGACTTGCATCTTGATTATCTATCAATGCAGAGCGCTTGTGTTTAGTCAACAGTCAAATTGTGCAGATTTTTATAGCATAGAGTTTAATTATGTGTGTTATGGATTTTTTTTCTCTCCACAGCCACATCTATGTGATCCCAGTCTTCACCTGGACCCTGACTCTTGCTATTTTACTGGCCCACACAGTTATTCAGCCAATCACTTCAGTGCTCACCCTCCTGAAAGGAATCCTCCTCATTGTCACGGTAACAGTGATTCTCTTCATTTTGCTATTTTGATACATTTTAGCATAATTTTCAAGCATTTGCAATAATGACACAGGGCTTTACTGGGAATAGCTTTTTATCATTAGAAAAAGGAGAATTCATGTAAAGGAAAAAACATATTTGGGAATGTCGCTAATGATAAAGGCGTCTGATGGCTGTGTCATGTCCTGAGTATCCATCTGTTCGATATTTATGTGACGGTGTTCACTTATCTAAAATGGATTCTCTCTTCATGAAAGCGCTGATTTGATGTAGAAGGTGTTGTTTCAACAGTAAGATCATTTTGGCAGCTGCAGCTTGTGCTGTTGTATTGCATTATGCAGGGAGGTGTTTCGGTTATACAGCCTGCTTTTATTGATTTGAATGGGATGGACAAAATAAAGGAAACATAAATGATAAATGTGAGACATGAAATATCAAACAGAATTTGATGTGAGGTTGGAGTTGTTTGATGTGTTTTCTAGTTGAATGATGCCTGTGAAGTAGTTCTGGTTTGTTAGTGTAAATACTGCAGCTTGTTGGAATTTTGATGAGGTGAAATGACACACTCATCTCAGACTCTGCATAAAGTTCACCTGTTTCCATAATGTGTTATTGTGGGTCATACTTTTTGTACAGGTATGCTTTCCCTCACCAGTGATTTTCCATGACTTTCCAAGAACTGATATTCAGCTTATTATCCTATAAATGTTTATAATCGGTGTTAAAAGTATTACTAGATTCATATTGGTTATTCATATAAAATTTTATCTGCCTCATGATAGTTTCATCATAGCCTCTCCGCATACAGCTGAGAATTTCAACTCAGGACTTTAAGTTGTTGCTTGCAGCTCTCTAGTCTTTGAACATGAGTGTATATTATTGTTCTCTCTGTGTTCTGCCTGAGACAGACTGGTGACCTGTCCAGCATGTACCCCACCTCTTGCCCTGTGACAGCTTGGATAGGCTTCAGCCTTCCCGTTAGTCTGGAATTTGATAAGTGAAAGCAATTGTCAAAAGGAAAAAAAAACTAAATTAGGGGTTTTTTTGCTTGTTGCTTGGACTTTAAAGCTCGATGGAAATGTACGTTTTCAGAGTTGCTGCTACATCTCCCACCTTTTTGTTTTGCCAGTCAGTGTGAGGAAGACGATGTGCCTGGGAAAAAATTAAATGGGCTGAATGAAATTAGCAGAACTGCAAGTCAGTAATTCATAGGACGTAAGTCTGAATGAGGTTCTCCTCTTGGGGAAGTGTGTCTCGCTCTCTATCTTACCAACAGTAGTGGCTCTGATAACATGGAAGACAGCATGACCACACAATGGAAAAATCGTTGAACTCTAATTTGGGTTAAAAAAATTTACATGGGAAAGCTGTTTCAGGGTTTTTGTGCCTGCACAATGGTGGAGTTTTAAAAGAGTAGTCATGAGTCCTGTTATCTTGTTCTACTACTTCTCTGTACTGCTTCTTTATTACCACACCGCTGCAGCAAACACTGAAAGCATAGATGATGTACATGTTTCTGTGCCTTTGTTGTGTAAAGATTTGTGTAAAAATAAATGTGAGATGTTGGATATTAATCATTTCAGTTTAATTTTTCTAATTTGCTTTATATTGTAATGTAAAGACACTGTAATATATGCAAGCCCTTGGGTGTGGTGGGAACCAAGAACAGCCATTTAACAGGAAAAGAGCGCAGGCATTATGAAGGTCAAGGAGGGGCAGCCATAGAAATACAGTGAGTGATATGGCTGATCAGTACATCACGGATATACTGGCTGATAAAGGAAAAAAGATACCTTATGTATCAGTACAACCCAGAAGTAATCCAGATTAGAGGAAATAGATAATAAATTATAACTTCAATATCAAATTTTTGTTTTTAAAGTCATTAAAGTGTACAATCACTCTGCAGCTGGGAAAAAGAACAGTTCAAGGAAGTCATTAAAAGCTTCAAATCACTGTTACACTCATGGCCATGATGGGTTTATGTAAACTTCTGACCACTACAATCCTTCCAGTTGTTAAATACAATTCCTCCCGTGGATTTTTCTGTGTTCATTAGCGAAGGGAAAAAACATTTTGATTTATTGTGGTTGACTTTTGATAGCTGAAAATCTCACACACTGTCCATCACTTGAGCTTACTTCATTTGTGTACAACTTTGTGAATAAGAACTTCACCAGGCAAAATTCATACAGAAATTACCTTGGATAAACAACAGGTTTTCAGACTTTTTTATCCAGCCTGCAGTATACATTATGCAACATGATCCTCAAGGGAAATTACAGAAAAAACATTTCTTCACAAATGAGTCTTATATTACACCATGTAGCTTACAGTTTTTGAAAAGCAGAAAGAGTCACCGAAGATGATTTAAATATTGGGTAGAAAAGGAATTAATCACAGTACTTTAAGCTTATTTGCTATTACATGAAATAGCACGTAGGAAAGGCAAGAGATGAATTACAATATATCAAGAAAACTACTTGTATCAGAAAATGAATACTTTGAATTTATAAAGTCCGCTGGCATAATAATGAAGACTTTCTACAACACATGTCAAAGGGGATTCAAAAGATAATTCATATCTAAAGTGTTATTCTAGAAAAACTAGGAAAGCAATGAAAAGATTTATACTGTACAGCTATACTTTGTACCGGCACTAAAGGAGACAAAAACAAGACAAAGAAGAGAAGCTCAAGAGAGATAAAGGAGAGATCAAACATGTATTGCAGCTTCCAAACTTCTGAGAAAATAAAACTCTCAAAATCAGTTTATTCTTTTATGTTCGTAATCTCATCTCAGTTTGAAAAAAAGAAGAAAGAAACTCATTTCTGACTTGCACAAACTCTTTGCTTGTGTACCTTGCTTTTATCACTTTTTTCAATTACTTTGTCAGTTTTAAAGTGGGATGAACTGTACACTCTCTGCATACAAACTTCTGAGTGATGTAGCCATACTAATTGTCAGGACAACTCCTCCGTAAGTTTGTTTGTTTTACATTCTTATATGAAATATAATTTGATGCAAGTATCACTCTGTACACGCAAAGTGCTGAAGGGTGTAGTAATGACTGCCATTACAACTCTTCAGTAAGGGTTTATACATTTCTTATATGAAGTATAATTTGTGATTTAAATGGAAAGCCGTCTGTTAAATAGTGAAATTTCTCTCGGCCTGCCTAAGCCAGTGTTTCCCACCCACTGTGCTGCAGCACATAGGTGTGCCGGGGAAGATTATCTGGTTCCTGGCGTGAGTAATGGGCAGAACAATTACATTCTATTTCCACTAGAGGGCAGTACAACTACCTGCTCTAATTAAATGGGTTGCCAACTTCCAGTAAAACAGAAGAAGACGAAGAAGAAATTACATAATAGTCATACTGTGAGGCGATGCAGTGCGTAATAGGAATAGATAAATATTTGAAAAGAAAAAGTAGTCAATGTGACATGGGTCTCACATTGACCCAGATCTGCTAGAGCCTTAATCTGACTCAGATTAAGGCTCTAGCATGAATAGTGGTCAGAAGAAAGCAAAAAAATTATCAATATGCTTTTTGTGACATTTTTGTCTGGAGGTATGCCGTGTGATTTTTCTAATGTGAAATATGTGGCATGGCTCCAAAAGGTTGGGAAACACTGGTCTAAGCTATGGTTGCCACTGATAGGCAATAATATAAAGATTAGATCATGCAGTGTACCAAGTGGGGGCAAATCCCAGTACTGCACACAAAGCACAGTCTTGTGGCTTTGCAAACTGGGGTCAGATACCAGATGCCACCGGAGTTCAGGAAGCCCTCCCAAGGTTACAGAGCAGGAGCTAAACTAAAGGCTAGCAGGTGGAAGTGTAAGCTGTTTCTGCTGTCACTTCTGATGGGGAAATGTCAACTCACTAGTAGACAACCTTGATGATTTGGTGGCACTGTTGAGAAATATTGAGATGCTACCGGGAATGTTGTCTGCTGTGCTTTGTGGAAAAATACCTGACTCCTGTGTAGACTTATTGAGCTTCACTATTATGTGATCAGAAGACGAGCAACAAGAGCAAAGGTGTTCTTGTTGAGGCATTCAGAACTGGTGCAGTAGGAGTTGCCTCCATCTCAGTACTGCAAAAACCAAGAAGATAGGATAGCCTAGATCTTCTGACTATCTGCCAGTCTCCGTATATAGCCAGGACACTGAGGTGGTGAACTCATAAATATCTGGAGGTCCTACTGGATGACAAGCTGGACTGGTCCCTAACCACAGGCTGACTACACTGGAAGATTTTGTCCCCACTGCAGTAAGCGTTTTTAACACCCTCTGATGGGAGATCCACCTGGATATTCATTCACCGCATAACGAGGCTTGTTTGCATTTCTAGCTGATGTGCTTTCTTTAGTCTCAAGTTACAGACCCTTCAACTACAAAGCCTTTGTTTGGTTTTGGCACGTAGCTCTACCTCCACCTCTCATCACCAGTGAAGGTTGTCTTGGATGTAGTGCCTTTTCAATTGTGACACACACTTGGCAACAATGTGGTGACTTTCAAATTTATTGTGAGAACTGCTCTTAATGAAAAGTAAAGAATGTCAACAGTTTCTCTGATTGTTGTGCAACAATCCTGACGCACAGTCTGCTCGATATCTAACAATTTTAGCAGTTGTTACTGTGGAAGGTTGCCTGACTGTGTGCCACATTCCCGTGATGTTCTGCCCTTTTTACTACAAGAATGCCACTCAGAACATCTTGTCAAGCTCATTACTTCACTGACTTGAATCTTTGTAAGTATTTCAAAGTCAAATTTCTTAAGTTTGAAACAGAATTAGAAGTTTGCTTTTCTTTGAGCTTAAGATTCTGCATCTAACTTGGTTCATTTTCCTGAGGTTATGCTTGGATGTTTCTCAAAAGCATACAAACGTTCTACTTAGCACACACAATTCAGTTTGGAGTTGTAAATTCACACTTAATATCAAATTAATATATTTTTGTGTGACAAATAAAAGAAAAGTAAATATCATAT